ACAATAAATGTAAAAAGGTCATTATATCATTCACGGATTGCCCCCCACATTGGGAACCAGGACTTTAGAAAGTCTTTCTGTTAGGGTTGGCTGTTTCTTCTTGCCCAATAAATAAACAAATATAGACTTAAACTAGGAAGCTAGGAATGTTTCTAAGGAACACACTGATGACAGCTCTTATTATTATCTTATACAAAAAGTTAGCAAACTATATGAAGAGGACAATACTGGTTTTGCAAAAAGCTTCAACATGTTTGCTTCTTAAGGATCTAAAATCTTTCAGTCACACTAGTCAGTAAAATCATTGAAGTTTTCAAGAAAACAGGACTTTCTTACTGTTGTGGTTGATTTAAATAGCATTTGTCCATGGAATCAGAAAAAAAAAGAGAAAAACAGGAAGAAGACCCTCCTTGTTCAGGCAAAGGCAGCACCTCATGAACCTTTGTCTCTTTTCACACTAAACTAGGAAAAGGAATATAAAGTATGAAGGTATGGTTCCATTATCTGGGCGGAATATGAAATATTTAAATGCTACTGTTTGAACACTCATGGCACTTGATGTATATCATAATCCAGTCAGTAAATGAGCAACAAATACTACAGAAGGATCAAGCAACATTTTAATTTTTTTTAGTAATCCTCACATTTTCATTTTAAGATGCCCCCCATTTTTCAGAGATATTTATATGCATCTAAGAAGCAAACAAAAACAGTATATCAAATATACACAATATTATGTGTGTGTGTAATTATTATTTAGATTTATATCCTGTTTTCTTCTCTTTAAGCAAGACTCACAACACTAAATACAGCAGACTCCAAATAAAAACGTATTGCGTCTCAATGTTAAAACAGAATAAAACACAGAATTGATAAAACAAATCATTAAAATCATCTAAGATCATTATATATATATATTATGATTTCCCTCCCTTTCAATAAAAATTAGTTAAAACAAAAACTCTGGAGCTGGCACCTGATGTTGCCCTTTGCATCATATTATCATCATCATATTATTAGTATTATTATATTATCATATTTTATTATCATATAGAGCCCGCCGTGATGGAATGGGTTAAGCCCTTGTGACAGCAGGACTGCTGACGGACAGGCTGGTGGTTTGAATCCGGGGAGCAGGATGAGCTCCCGCTCAGCTCTAGCTCCCCATGCAGGGACATGAGAGAAGCCTCCTACAGGATGGTAAAACATCAAACATCTGAATGTCCCCTGGCAGTGTCCTTGCAGATGGCAAAAGCGACTTGCAGTTTTTCAAATTGCTCCTGACACACAAAAAATATTATCATATATCTTATCTTACTATCTCATTATATTATTATTATCATATTATTATTATTATATTATCATAGGGAAAAGGAAACTCTTTAAACTCTGGAGCTGGCATCTGATGCTGCCCTTCGCATCGTATTATCTATATAAATCAAAATGTAATGTTTGCTTGTGGGATTAACAGAACTCAAAAACCACTGGGCGAATTGACACCAAATTTGGCCACAAGACACCTACTAACCCAAGGAGTGACCATCACTAAAAAAATTGATTTTATCATTTGGGAGTTTTAGTTCCTGGGATTTATAGTTTACTTACAATCAAAGAGCATTCTGAACTCTACCAATGCTGGAACTGAACCAAACGTGGCACACAGGACTCCCATGACCAACTGAAAACACCAGAAGGGTTTCGTGGGCACTGACCTTGAGTTTGGGAGTTGTACTTCACCTACATCCAGAGAGCACTGTGGACTCAAACAATGATGGATCTGGACCAAACTTGGCATGAATATTCCACATACCCAAATATGAACACAGATGGAGTTTGGGGAAATAGACCTTGACATTTGGGAGTTGTAGTTACTGGGATTTATAGTTCACCTACAATCAGAGAGCATGCTGAACCCCACCAAAGACAGAATTGGGGCAAACTTCCCACACAGAACCCCCATACTTAAGGCCATTCAGTACAACTCCCTTCACCAGGGCAAGAAAACATTATCAAAGTCCTCCTGACAAAGAGCTATCCAGCCATAGATATAGATAGATATATATGATTCACACACACATAGTATCATAGATTTGAAAGGGACCCCTGAAGAAGGACAATTATAAGTTGCATGTTTCAGAGTAGGCAAACCAGACAATCTCCACATCAACACTGACAAAGAAACAGCAAGAAATACTGTTTATCCACACGCATAAAGAAATTACATATTTTAGAAACCAACATTTTCTAATTACTTTCTTTTCCAGATCACCAGACTGAGCCACAGCAACGCGTGGCAGGGGACCGCTAGTATTATTATAGTTATTATATTAACATATTACCTTATCTTATTCTCTTCTCTTATTATTTACATATTATTATCACTATGTTATATTATCATAGGGAAGAGGAAATTTTCCAAACTGTGGAGCTGGCATCTGATGCTGTCCTTTGCATCATATATTATTATTATTACTATTATTTCGTGTCAGGAACGACTTGAGTAACTGCAAGTCGCTTCTGGTGTGAGAGAACTGGCCATCTGCAAGGACGTTACCCGGATGTTTGATGTTTAACCATCCTTATGGGAGGCTTCCGTCATGTTCTCTGCATGGGGAACTGGAGCTGACAGGGAGCTCAACCCACTCTCCCCAGATTCAAACTGCTGACCTATTGGTCAGCAGTCCTGCCGGTACAAGGGTTTAACCCATTGTGCCACTGGGGACACCATTATTATATTACATATATAATAATAATAATAGTATCATACTACATTATCTTATTATTGTCTCTTATCTTATTATTATTTTATTAGTATCATATTATTATATTATATTATCATAGGGATCATAAAATACTCTGGAGCTGGCATCTAATGCTGCCCTTTGCATCATATTATCTTATTATTATCTTGGCCTGCCCATCCTGTTCGATTCTATATTGTTTTTAATTTGCTTTATTTATTTTATTTTGCTACTGTTACTATTTTCTGATGTAATTTTTTGTTCTCTGCATTCTGTATTTTATTGTGCTGTATTGTATTTTTGGGCTTGGCCTCATGGGGAGAAAATTCTATTATAATAATATAACTTTATTATTATTGGAAACACAAGATGAGTCCACAGCAGACACTCTGCTGGCTGTTGTATTGGATCGCACGTCGGACACTTCCCAAGTGTCTAGGACTGTGTGATGCGTGCAGATCCCAGTAAGGTGCAGCTGGCAGATGATAATTTTCTCAGCACTGATTGTGTTTAAGTGCAGGCCAAGGTCTTTAGGCACTGCACCCAGTGTGCCGATCACCTCTAGGACCACCTTGACTGGCTTGTGCCAGAGTCTTTGCAGTTCTATTTTTAAATCCTCATATTATTATTATATTATCAAAGGGAAAAGGACATTTTCCAAACTCTGGAGCTTGTATCTGATCCTGTCATTTGCATCATATTAATATTATTATAGTATCTTATCATTACCTACGTATATAATAAAGGTCAGTGTTTGTATGTGGAGGGAGGTGTATGTGGCAGCGTTCTGATTGGTTGCCACTGTGGTACAATTTGCATATGGTCTCTGATTGGCCAGCCTCAACATTCCGAGGTAGCAGAGGGAAAAGGAAAGGGGCCTGAGGCTGTCAGGAATGGTTGGAGTTGAAGTCCAAAATATCTTGTGCCCCCAACAATGACAGAACAAGACCAAACTTTGCACACAGAACCCCCCCCCCCTCCCCAAGACCCACTCTACATCCTGGTGCAGTTTGAGGGAAGATGGACCATGGATGACGGAACTTGCAGTACTTTAACTCACTTCCTTAGAGCACTGTGGCTCATACCAATGACGGATCAGGACCAAACTTGGCACACAGAGGCCCAATGGCCCACTTTAAAACCTGGTGTGGTTTAGGGCAGGATGTGCCACGAACGATGGGATTTGCAGTACCTTCACCCGATTCATTTCCCACAGAACATTGTAGCCTCTACAAATCACAGACCAGACCCAAACTTGGCACACAGAGTACTCATGACCCACTCTACATCCTGATGCAGTACTAAGGGGGAATGGACCATGGATGATGGGACTTGCAGTACTTTCACTCACTTACTGAAGCCACTGCGGCCCTCATCCAATGACTGATAGACTAAACTTGGCACACAGAGCTCCAATGACCGATTCTATATCCTGCTGCTGTTTGGAGGAGGGTGGACCATGGATGATGGGACTTCACGTACCTTCACTCGCTTCCTGAAAACAATGCAACCCTCATCCAATGACCAATAAAGACCAAACTTGGCATACCCCCATTACCCACTTTCTCTAGTAACCCGGGCACCGCCGGGTCCCCAAGCTAGTATTATATAAGTATCCCCATCATTCTCCTCTTGTTGGGAGTTGGAATGGAGGCAGAACGAGTGTTGCAGGAAGCCCGCCCCCTCCGGGCCTGGCCCCGCCCCTCCGCCTCACCTGTGGGCCGCTGAGGAGAAATTGGCGGAGGGCGGCGCCGGGAAAGAGGTAGCGGCGGCCCTGCAGGCCGGGAAGCCCCCCCGCGGCTCATGACAGCTCTTCCTTCCTTCGTGCCGGCCCCGCACCGCCTCCCGCCGCTGCCGCCGTCCCCTTCTCCATCACCTCTTCACAGACGCCGGAAGCCATGCAACGCCACTTCCGCCACAAATTTCTTGCATGGGAGTTGTAGTTCTTTTGTCCCTTCCGGCTCATAGAATTCCCTCACGGCTGGAGCGCCTCCACCCTACAACTCCCATCAGCGCCCGCGCGGGGGCCTGCTTCTCAGGGACGGCCTCTCTTCCCTCACGCGACCAATCAAATGGGCTCCGAAGGCGAACAGGAGAGGACGCAGCCTTGTGGAACGGCGGACGATTCCGACCAATAGGAAGAGAGCGTTTTAAAGTGGTGAACGCTCATTGGCTGAAGGAGGGCCGATGGCCCGATATGGGGCGATTTGATTGGACAGAGTCGAGCCAATAGGGAAGCCGCCCGAGTTTATAAAAGGAGATGAAGCTGCTCGTCCCTTCCTTTTCCCTTGGCGGCTGCAGAGTGGTAAGTCTTCTTTCTTGACGGTGGGGCACGGCAATACGGCTAACGCTTTGATTTTAAAGCCATCTCATTGAATGACTCTTATATTAACCAATAGAAACTAATATTAACCAATTTACGTTTTCATAGAATCCTAGAGTTGGAGGGGACCCCCAAGAGCCATCTAGTCCAACCTCCTTCTTCCGCAGAAGAGTACCATCAAAACTCTCCTAGCAGATGGCTATCCAGCCTCTAAAGTAATTAATATGCTTCCCCTATAGCATGGGGGCCATCAATTTAGGGATTTCTTCTCAGCCCAGCACACAGATGTACTTACTAGAAGTAATAAATATAAATAAATAAATATAAATATGTGAGAGGAAGTCACAGGGAGGAGGGAGCAAGCTTGTTTTCTGCTTCCCTGGAGACTAGGACACGGAACAATGGCTTCAAACTACAAGAGAGGAGATTCCATCTGAACATGAGGAAGAACTTCTTGACTGTGAGAGCCGTTCAGCAGTGGAACTCTCTGCCCCAGAGTTTGGTGGATGCTCCTTCTTTGGAAGCTTTTAAACAGGCTGGATGGCCATCTGTCAGGGGTGATTTGAATGCAATATTCCTGCTTCTTGGCAGGGGTTGGACTGGATGGCCCATGAGGTCTCTTCCAACTCTTTGATTCTATGATTTATTTATTTTATTTCCCTGCCCTTCTCACTCCAAGGTGGGACTCGGGGCGGCCTCACAGCAAACACCATCCGGTGCCATCATAATGATAAGAACAATCAACAAATTCATGAAAACAAAACATTAAATAAACAGTTGTTAAAACACGCCAATTAAAATCTGGGTCCGGACCAATTTATTGTCACTTCGAAATTGCTTATGTCGTCTTCATACAAGCAGCTATTCAATGGTCAAATGCAAGGTCCCACAGCCAAGTCTTGAGTTTCCTTCTAAAGGACAGGAGGGAGATGGCCAATCTGATGTCTTTGGGGAGGGAATTCCACAGACAGGGAGCCACTGCTGAGAAAGTCCTGTCTCTCGACTCCACCAAATGGCCATGGGATCGAGAGCAGGGCCTCTCCAGATGATCATAAATTTTGTGATGATTTGTAGTAGGAGATACGTTCAGACAGGTAGTCTGGGCTGTTTAGAGTATTAAAGGTTAAAACCAGCACTTTGCATCGTGCTCGGTAGCAGATCGGCAACCAGTGGAGTTGGCGTAACAGAGGAGTTGTATGCTCCCAGTACGCCGCTCCAGTAAGCAACCTGGCTGCTGACAGTTGGATTAATTGAAGCTTCTGGGCAACTGACCACCTTGATTAGCATTTGATGGCCATTCACACCTAGCTCCAGCAGACAAGAGTTCTTTGTCCTACCCTGGTCATTCCACAGATATATAAACCAAATTTTCTTAGTTCCACCAGACCTCTCTACCTCTGAGGATGCTTGCCATAGATGCAGGCGAAATGTCAGGAGAGAATGCCTCTAGAACACGGCCATATAGCCCAAGAAACGTACAACAACCCAGTAATTCCGGCCATGAAAGCCTTTGACAATACATTTCTCAGACTTCTGTGCTGTTCCCAGCAAACACTGCTCCCTCTTTTTCCTGCTCCTAATGCTGAAGCTCCATTAATTTAGATAACAGGCAAGGCACTGAGGTAGCCTTTTTGGCTTTGCTTCGCTTCCATGCACTGAAAAAGAAACTGACTTTGGGAGCCTTCCGAGATTTACAAAACTAAGACAAAACAATATGGGATAAGTTTAGGTTCTTAAATTTTTGGCGCAGGCCACGCCCATGTGTCGAATATTGCCTTGTAAGTACAATATTTAAGGAATTTAATCCGAATTAATGCATACCTCTAGTATTTATGTATCAATATGTATCTTTGTTTGATCCACAAAGGCTCCTCCATGGCCTGATGGACCTTGGCTCCATTGCCCAACTTAAAGCACTGGTGGGGATTTAACTAAAATTTAAAAAGCGATGCATATATAAATGCAGTAGAGTCATGCGTATCCAACATAAACGGGCCAACAGAACGTTGGATAAGCAGAAATGTTGTATAATAAGGAGGGATTAAAGAAAAGCCTATTAAATTATGTCAAATTATGTTAAGATTTTTAAAATGAAGCACCAAAACATGTTTTACAACAAATTGACAGAAAAAGCATTTCAATATATGGTAATGTTGTGTAATAATTACTGTATTTACGAATTTAGCACCATAACATCGCAATGTATTGAAATAGCTATGGATCCGGGCAGGAGGCAGACTGCGTTGGATAATACAGAATGTTGAATAAGCGAGACTCTACTGTAGATGTGTGTGTGTGTGTAACACTCAGATGCAAGCACAAGAGGGTAAAGGAGAAAAAAACAGACAAAAATGCTGTCTTCTAGAGAAGGGCCTGCATGAGGTCAAAGCACAGCAAAGGGCATCCATCCTACAGACATTTAATGGAAATGTACATATCAAAGTGCAGGCTTTTCTTGCGTGAAAACAGGAGGGGGTTGGACTACATGGGCCCTGAGGGTCTCTTCCAACTCTTATGATTATTCTTCGCCAGTCAAGGAGGCAATTGGTTGTATTAAAACGAGAGGGAAGTGGTGGCAAGGTACATTTGAATCACTTGCCTGCTCCTTCCTCTGAGGCTGAGAGAGTGTGACTCTAGGCCAGAACATACTGACTTGCTCAGGACAACGGTTTACAAATTAAGGCAATTCCCCTTTCTCTGAAGTTGAGGATGTGGCTTAGTAGCAACAATCATTTATTCACAGCTACCTTAAGTACTTCACATTGCCTGGTTATGCATTGTCTGCTACAACTTATTAGAAATTATCTTATATACTTATTTTATTTTTATTATTTATTTATTTATTTGGGGTGCTTCTACCCCGCCCTTCTCAACCCCCTATGGGGGACTCAGGGCAGCTTACAAAAGGCACAATTCTGTGTGGGAAGTTTGCCCCAAATACAGTACAATATACAATACACAAATTTACCATATGATGTCAACAGTTATAACTAATTAAAACAAACAGTATACTAGCAGCAATAAAATCATCTTGTGGTCAATGTTCACCAATTCATAATCCATCTAGCATTGTCATTGTCCTTTCCTACTCTGGTCGTCATTGGTTGTCTTTGTACATCTGCCAGCTTACCCGAAGGCCTGGTCCCACATCCAGGTTTTTAGCTTCCTTCTGAAAGAGAGTAGGGATGTTGATGACCTAATCTCCCCTGGGAGTGCATTCCACAGGCGAGGGGCCACCACCAAGAAGGCCCTGTCCCTCGTCCCCACCAGTCTCGCTTGTGATAAAGGTGGGGCCGAGAGCAGGGCCCCCTCAGCAGATCTTAAACTCTGAGGTGGGATGTAGAAGGAGATACGTTCGGACAGGTACGCTGTCCGATACCCAGCACTGTTCATGCCTGCATTTTCTAATGGAACTGTTTATAAAACCATAAAGCTAATAATGAATGTTTCTAATGAATAGCATTAGGAAATGCATATCCCAGCAACACTGGGTATATAAATTTATCTATTTATCAATAAATAGGAACCCCTAGTGGCGCAGTGCGTTAAACCCTTGTGCCATCAGGACTGAAGACTGACAGGTCGTAGGTTCAAATCCGGGGAAAGTGCGGATGACCTTTCTCTGTCAGCTCCAGTTCCCTGTGTGGGACATGAGAGAAGCCTCCCACAAGGATGATAAAACATCCGGGCATTCCCTGGGCAATGTCCTTGCAGACAGCCAATTCTCTCACACCAGAAGTGACTTGCGATTTCTCAAGTCGCTTTTGACACAAAAAAATCAATAATAATAGTGACAATATGTATGTTTGTAGTCTGTACTTAAAAGGCTCTGACGTGGCTTAATGGATGTAGACCAGCACAATAGGTTTATGACACTTTTTTTGGAGATGAGTCATTGAATATGTAGAAGAGTACAAGGCCCACACGTTTCTAGTAGTTTTTAGGCTGTTCTGTTGGGCTGCCTGAGATTTTAGATGTTTCTTGAAATTGTCATGGGATTCTGAAAGATTATGGAAATGTCCAAGAAATTCCAAAACAGTCCAGAAAATATCAAAAGGTTCTATGTGTGTCTGTACCTTCCTGGGAATTTCTGCAAATCCCATGAAGTGTATTGTTCTTGATATTTCTGTATCCACATACAGGCAGTCCCTGAGTTAGAAGTAATCTGACTTCCAAACAGCTCATAGTGAAGAATGGGGCTGAGACAACAGGAAGCGAAACAAATCTCGCCCTCAGAAGAGAAATTCACTCCTGAAATAGTTATTAACATGGGGGCAAGGTGTCTCAACTGAAGCTTTATCTCCAATCCTTGTTTCCACAAGGCAAATTTTTCAAAATCCAATTACCACAGACACAGAAAGTGAGGGGAAATTTTCTAAACGGGGCACAGATAGCAACATAACACCAGGGGTTTTCACCTTTCCCTATGCAATTCAACACTTTAAATAAAAATATTTTTGGATGACATTACACTTTAAGAATATGCTTGTTCCAATTTAACATACAAATTCAAGTTCAGGACATTTTAAGTTGGATAATGGAGGGTCTGTGTGCCAAGTTTGGCCCAGATTCTTCACGCTACAGGCCGCCTTTGTGGTATAAACAACGTACATACTTTGACCCTATTTATGGAATCTAATGCTCCCCTTTTGGGGCTAAATGACCTTGCCAAAATTAGCATGCGGGTTAGATTTGCATAATATGGCAATCTTAGTGGTGAGCCGAAGCAAAAGGGGAAGCTAATTTAATGGCCTCAATGCTACACCATCCTAGGATTTGCAGTTTGCACTCTAGCAGAGAAGGCTCAGAACCATGTCAAACTACAGCTCCTGGGATTCCATAGCATTGAACCAAGGCAATTAAAGTAGATTCATTCTACAACAGAGATGCACCCCAAGGTTTTCCTTTCCATTGCTAGAAGCATTGGTGCTCCAACACTTTCATTTTTGAGTGCAATGTGCACCTTTTTGGGGCAAAATGACCAAGAGTGCCTTTTTTGCTGCTGTGCATTACATTCAGCAGCGAATCCTTTGTTTGGTTTCAGAGTTTTGAAAATTGAGGTGCGCATTAGATTCGATGGCACATGAGTAAATACAGTATGTGGAATATAAAGATGCTTTAGGGATAGTTTTGTTATTTTTATTATAGGTTATAATAAGGTGTTGTCAGACCTTCAGGTACAAAGCAATTACTGCTTTTTGTTTCAGTGCAGAGGATAGTTGTGCTTCTTTTGTCAAGTGTTTCGGGATGCCTAAAAAAAAGCGACCCTCCTTGGGAGCAGTCACTCCGAAAGCAAGGAAAGTCAGATTACTGCGGGCCGCTGAGACAGCTGGACAGCGCGAGCAGCGTCTTGAGAAAGAGCGGGAACGGTCCCGTAAATCGAGGGCGGCAGAGACCGTGGAGCAACGCGACCAGAGGCTGAAGAAGGAGCGAGAAAGAGCTCGCAGGACGAGGGCGGCAGAGAACGCAGAGAAACGCGAGCAGCGACTTCAAAACGAGCGAGAAAGGGCCCGGGCCATGAGGGCCGCAGAGACTCCAGAGCAACGAGAGCGGCGGCTCGAGAACGAGCGGGAAAGGGCCCGGGCCACGAGAGCGGCAAGGCATTCCACTGTGTCGTTGGACTGCTTTCACTACGACGATCCGTCTAATGTTATTATTGGACGAGCGGACCAGATCTGCCGCCACTGTCACGTCAAGGCATTCAAATTGTAGCAGAGTGGCATCCGGGACCACCATTAACAAGGCACAGTCATCCAAGTGGTATTAACTTGATCTAGTAGTGTTTTTCTAGTTAGACATATTGCACTCAAGAGCAGGTTACCCAAATAATTTCTTCATGCTCCAAAGGAGTTTTACAACCAGGGTGCCATTCTGCCAGATTGGTATTCAGAACCAGCACTGATAGTACATTACCCCAGTGAAACCCAAGTGCTCGCCATCTCCATGTTGTTCTCAGGGACCATTATATGTTACATGGACAAGAGGATTTCAAGAACATTGAAAAATTATAATGTAAAAAGTTTTCTTTTTTTATTTTCATAAAATTGTGAACATTTGTTTCACCTCTAAAATTGTAAAGCTGAGAATGAGTATTTCTGAGAAATATTTAGAACACATTAGAGAACACATACATGGGTATGTTGGGAACGTAAACTAGATTAACAATAGTAGTGTAGACCAATAACAATAATAATTATAAGCCAGTCAAGGTGGCCCCAGTGGTGATCGGCACACTGGGTGTGGTAGCTGAAACCCTTGGCCTGCACTTAAAAATAATCTGCACTGATAAAATTACCATCAGCTGCAAAAGGCCATCCTACTTGGATCTTGATTCATTATTCGCCAATATATCACACAGTCCTAGACACTTGGGAAGTGTCCGACATGTGGTCCAATACAAAAGCCAGCATAGTGATCTTGTTTGCTATTAACTAATCTTGTTGCATATCAAATAATAATTCTATTTTACCCACCTCTCCTCATGGCTTGAGGCAGATCATTATATTTGTAAAAAAAAAGAAGGTGTTTTTCTGATAAAGTGGACTATCCAAAGACTCTAGATATAAATTTTAATTTATAAATCATATTAAAGTTCTTTTAACAATGTAATGTCTAAATTGCCTTAAAAGCTTTTTTAAAATTTAATACCTAAATTGCATTAAAGGGATTTTAAAAATTGTTCCAGTGGGAGAAGACCCCTTTGAGAGGTGTTGGTATGAAATCCGGTGATACCAATGGTGTCTGTGCAGCAGGTGGAAGGAAAATGGAGCATTTATAAAACTGTTAGCAAATTTAATAACTCATTAAACCCTTCGTAACTTTTTGTTTAATTGAAACCTGTTGCCATCACGAAATATTCTGCGTTAAAATTGGGTCCGTTCTTTAGAAACGCCTTGTATGATATCATACTACCTTTCTCCCTTCATTCCCAATTTGAGAATAGCTGCCCAAACCTTCCACACATATCCATGTATTGAACCCAGTCCCAACAGTAGATTGTCAAGTTTAAATCGAGGAGGCATTTCATGCCTTCAAGAGAACGAATGTGCATCTAAAGTGTGGATGGAATTGCTGCATCTCTAAATGAGTCTCCTTTCAGATATAAAGTGGGATATAAATAATATAATTATTATGAGGTTTGACTTCTAGAACTATCATGTTTGCTTTTCAATACTTTTAAGAAGTTCTAGCTTTTCTCTCCCTCTCAGCATAGTTTGCTTTCTTTTCTTTTCCAGATGTATTTTTGGAAACCTGGTTATGACAGCCTGCCTTCGCAAAGGTAAGCATAAATAGGAAAGGAGGCAGACTTTCTGGTATTGCGACACTTCCCAAGCCCCAGCCGGTGATGAGCTCTTCCATTTATTTTCTGACACCTCGTCTGAACACTGCGGTTGCAGTGAACTGATTATGGACATGAGCTGAGGCTTTGAGGCAGATTAATCCTCTAATACACTACAACTGGCCTTCCACATTTGTGGGTGTGATTGTTTACGGATTTGGTTGCTTTCTCTAGGAATCTCTCAGGCTTGCAACACCGTTCAGCTTCTGCATCTAAATAAGGGAGAGATAAAGTGGGGTATAAATAAATATAATTATTATGAGCCCTAGAGTCACACTGGATGACTTGAAGTATTTTTTTTTTGGTAAAATACGTTAATTATTACATCTTAATTGGATTGGAAGTCTGAAGGCACATTAGTGCTTTGTAAGACTGCTGAAGCTGAGTGAAAATATTCCAAAAAAATTAAAACATAGCACGTTTTAAATTTTCAACTTCACACTTTCATGGAGGTTCTCTACTTCTAACCTCATCAAATGCGGAAGGCTGTGCTAGTATTTGTGCTTATTGAAAGATCAAAACAATATGATGGGCACTAATAGTTTTTTCCCCCATTTTCTTTAGGGAAGGTAGTAAGGACAGCAGCGTCGAAACTGCCTGTGCAAGATGGTGAGCCTGAAGCATAAGGTGTTTTGCGTCCTCCAGTTCAGCAAGACTGGCTCCGTCATGGTGGTGTGGCGTGCCTTTCGAGGGCAGTTTGGTACCAATCCTCCAGCACCAAAGAACATTCGCTGCTGGTACCCGACAGTTTGAAGAAACAGGCTCTCTATGTAAAGGGAAGAGCGCAGGGCGGCCACGTACTTCGGAAGAAAACGTGAGGCGGATCCGGGAGAGTTTTCTGGAAAGCCCGCTCCAGTCCACTCGCTGCGCCAGCCGGGAACTGGCCATTTCTCACAGGACCGTCTGGCGCATCTCGAGGCAACAACGTTCAACTGCAAGGGCGTGCCAGTTGCAACTGGTGTGGCCCCTTCATGCAGGAGACAAAAGTAAGCGCATGGAATTCTGTGATGTTACAGAATGCGGATGGCTTACATCCGCTGTTTTTTAGCGGCGAAGCCATGTTTCATCTCGGCGGGGAAGTTGGCCATTGCGACATGCGCATCTGGGGATTGCAAAATTCCCCTGAAACTGTAGCAAATGAGTGCAATTTCCCCCAAGTGACTGTGTTTTGTGCTGTTTCGCATTCTTTTTCGAGGGGAACGCAGCAACGTGACTCAGAGCGGTTTCCAAATAGTAAAACACCAACATACAGAGTACGCAAAACATAAGCATAAAATGATCAAAACAACACAAATGCATTAAAACCAATGCCACCCAATTATTCGTGCAAAAATTACTGTTAAAGCTTGACCTTGAAGGAGCTGGGGGTGGTGATGGCAGACAGGGAGCTCTGGTGTGAACTGGTCCATGAGATCACAAAAAGTCAGAAGCGACTGAACAAATGAACAACAAAGGGGCCAGATCAAGACTAGTGCAAAAACAGGACATTGGGGGGGGGGGGGGGGGGTAAAGTGCAATAACTCATCAACCCCTTTGTGACCTTTTGTGTAATTGTAGCATGCTAACATCATGAAATATACTGCTTTGAAATTGGGTCCATCTATTTGAAACACCCCATACAATATTTTCCTGTCTTTCTCTCTTTATTCTCTACTTGAGTGGAACCTCAAAAGAAGTAATAAGTGGCCCTTGAGCATTAGGCCAACCCAAAAGTGTTCTGCCTTCCATCAGGATCACAAGTTTTCCATCCCTGGTTTAAAGAGCAGCTGCCCAATCTTTATAAACGCATCTGTGTATTGAACCCAGTCCCCATAGAACGGATTGGCAGGTTTAAATATGGAAGGCATCTTATGCCTTCAAGAGAGAGCAATTTGCATCCAAAGCGCATTTTGTCTTGCTAAGGCTAAATGACCTGGTTTCGTCTGCCATTTGTAGTATTTTGATGCATTACTTCTGGGTTAAGCCGTTGCTCCTCCATACCTTTGAAACGTTCTTGCCTTTTTTTCCCCCACCTTCTCAGCGTAGTTTGCTTCCTTCTTTTCCAGATGCACTTTTGGTAACTGGATTATGAGAGCCTGCTTTCACGGAGGTAAGATTCCATTTTTACAGATAAATAAAGGGTTAATGTTTTGCCTGCACCCCATTGAAATCCCCAGCCCATGATGAGCTCTTCCATTTATTTTCTGACACCTCGTCTGAACACTGCTCGCAGTGTACTGATTATGGACATGAGCTGAGGCTTTGAGGCGGATTAATCCCCTAATACACTACAGTTGGCCTTCCGCATTTGTGGGTTTGAATCTTGACGGATTTGCTTGTGTTCTCTAGGAATCTCTAGGCTCCGTGTCCAGCCTCCAGCAGACATTGACCATTAAGTTATGCAAGAGGACTTACAAATACATTCTTGATTAAAATAAAATAGTATTTTTATTGTTTTTCATTCACAGACATCCTCAAGTGAATGAGGAGAGCTGACTTTACTAGTTATAGCATTTGAACTTAATTAGAAAGCAAAATGGCATGACTGGCACTAATCTTTTTTTGTTTCCCACTTTTCAGGGAAGGCAACAGCAAGCCAAACCCTCAGACCACTTTTTAAGATGGCTGGAGTGGAACAGTGGGTGATGCAGGGGACTGCCGAGTTGGAAGAGACATTTCAGGGTCCCTCTTTAGAGACCTCTTATAGATGGCCACCTTACTTCTGTTTAAGCAATGGCAGGAAGGCTGTGTGCCAGGGTTCATGTGCAAAAGGACTCACTTTGGATCCCAGCGGGACACTTCGTTTATGCGAGTCTTGATCTCATGGGCCCCTCTTTAAGAAGAAAATCATATTAGCAATACATAAACATCAGCTCTCAAGCTGGCACTGGATGGCCCTCCAAGAGGGTCTTCCTCCAGGGGCAAACCAAGAATGGGCAACTTGGAAGTCCTTGAACAGACTCAGAAGCGGAGTGGGCAGATCAAAAGACAACCTGGCTTAAATGGCATCACCTAGAAGAATCCTCCACCTTGTGTGACTGTGAAGCAGGACAACTCCGCATCTGTATGCTTGCTCACAATGCCCTGCCCCATGCACAGAGAAAGAACTGTTTAAAGCTACAGGCGGTGCGGTTGCTGTCTAAAACTATTTAGCTGTGCTTCCTTTATTTTATTATCTATTTTATCAGTTTTATACTTATTTATTATGCAATGCTTTTGATACGAAATAAATGAAAGCTAGCACTTAAATGCTAACAATAAGGCCCTTTGGATTTCTACTTGGGGCAGGTGGGAGCCCTTTTTGTCAGGCAGCAAAGTGTACATTGTATTAAGTGTTTCTCTTTGCTGTGGGATTATTCACAATTTGGGGCACATAAGCGGATTTCTACATTTCCCAAACCTGGCTCAATGGAGTGCAATGGTAGCACTTCCAACTACACTACACAGAGGACTAGCCATGGGATGGGAGCAAATCCTGGTTTGTTGGGGCTTTGAAAGACAAAAAAAGTTCTGTGTTTCCTATTTGCCTGGATTGCCTCTGTAACAAGTTTTATCTTGGTTATGTGTCTCCAAGTCATTTCTGACTTATTGCTATCTATATGGAATCTGTGTGCATTTACTTATTTATGGTCCTTACCTGTAGGATTTATGTGTGTGTGTGTGCGTGTGTGTGTCAAGAATGGGACTTCACACAGTGGGCAAGTCATATTCTCTCAGCATCAAATAAAGGTAACGAATTCCCTTGGAATAAATCATGGCACTAAGAATCAAGGTGCATTTAGTTTATTTAGTTTTAAATAACGATCCAGAGAAGCCAGGGTTTAAGAGCCATAGAAACTCATAGGGTGGTCTTGGGCCAAGTCACTCTCGCTCAACCTCTTTGGACAAACGTATATAAACAACTACAGAAGACTGGGCAGGAAAGAGGTGGGAATTAATGGAAATGGGCAAGTTAACCATGTTGTTGAAAGATAAGTCACTGGGCACCTTCTTCAAATAATGGAAACCCTTTTATCCTTTATGTGCAGGTTCGGACACCTAAAAAGTTGAGATACTGTATTGTCGAAGGCTTTCATGGCCGGAATCACTGGGTTGTTGTAGGTTTTTTTTGGACTATATGGCCATGTTCTAGAGGCATTGTCTCCTGACACTTCGCCTGCATCTATGGCAAGCATCCTCAGACCTCACTACCTCTGAGGATGCTTGCCATAGATGCAGGCAAAACGTCAGGAGACAATGCCTCTAGAACATGGCCATATAGCCCGAAAATCTTACAACTACCCAGTTGAGATACTAATTTTTTGAGGTATTAAGGTTAAAACAAGTAGAATTCAACAATTTGATGGATATAAGGTGGAAGAAAAATGTTACATTTATAGAGACAGATAAAAGGGAAGCTAGAAATCTGCTTTGAATTCTCATACATTGGTGGTTGTAGAGTTATAGGTAGAAGTGTGTATTTGTTTTCTGTATGTATAAGTAGCATGGCTTTTCTGTACTTTCACTGTCATTTTTTAAAATTAAAAGATACTGGGAGAAAGGAAGACACCTGGACAGAAAACCCCAAGAAAGTCACCAAAGGAGCAGCGTTGAGTCTCTTGTGTAGAGAGAGAAAGCGGGGTATAAATAAACATGATAAATGTGTTGTCGAAGGCTTTCATGGCCAGAATCACTGGGTTGTTGTGAGTTTTCCAGGCTGTATAGCCATGTTCCAGAAGCATTATCTATTACATAATGTTAAATGGTCTTGCAGCTTCAAGGCCTGGCTTATTCCTGCTTGGGGGAATCCTTTCTTGGGAAGTGTTAGCTGGTCCTGATGGTTTCTCGTCTGGCTTTCCCTTGTTTTCTGAGTGTTGCTCTTTACTCTTTATTTACTGTCCTGATTTTAGAGATTTTTTTTTTCATTTTCATGGTTTCCTCCTTTCCGTTGAAATTGTCCACATGGCTTGTGGATTTCAATGGCTTCTCTGTGTAGTCTGACATGGTGGTTGGTAGAGTGGTCCAGCATTTCTGTGTTCTCAAATAATATTCTGTGTCCAGGTTGGTTCATCAAGAGCTCATGTTCCTTGATTTGTGTTTGGGCGCTGTGTGTGGTGGTCCCTATGTAGACTCTAGAATCAGGACAGTAAATAAAGAGCAACATTCAAAGAACAGGGGAATTCCAGACAGGAAACATTCAGGGCCAGGTAACACCTCCCAACAAAGGATTCCGCCAGGCTTTGAAGCTGCAAGGCCATTCAATGCTAATCTAGCTGGCCAATGGCAATATTTACAATTGCCACAAACAGACAAGAGTACTTTCTCCCATCCTGGACATTCCACAGATATATAAACCTCACTTGCCTGTGTTTCCAACAGACCTCACAACCTCTGAGGATGCCAGACAGCCCAGAAAACTCACAGCAACCCAAACATAATGATAATTTAGAGCTGAAGGCACCCAATCATAACAAGGAGTGGGGCATCATACCTTTCCAGACTTTTGCTTGAGCCTGACGGTTTTGTATCAAAATGTGGTTCGCTTTCTTTTCTCGGCACTTAAAGAGACAGGAGCGAGTCATTTTAGAAAACAAATCTTTATTATTCTTATTAAGAGGAACAAAAAAAGCTATAAACAGCGCCTGCGGTGTGATAGTACACAAGGAACACACGGTGCCTGAAGGTGCTTTTGGAGGCCTCTAGGTGGCAGTCAAAGCCCAATGTACAAAAACAAAACTCCTGGCAGAGAAAGACGAGGCTTTATCCTAAAATGGGATTTGCAGAAGCCAAGCTTGGAGGAACCAGGGATTGGGATCAGAATCTGGCTGGGAAAGGTTCGCCTTCCTTGGATCCAAAAGCCCAGGGAAGAGGATGCCCTTCACTGGTTCCTCCCAATTAATAGGTCTCCAGGTGAGGCTTGGGGGTCTAAGAGAGCAATGGGACATGCAGCAAGGAGATGGCCTTCCTTAGGAAACAAGTGGGGCAGCGAGAAAGCAAGCCCGGCCTGGAGAGTAGCCTTTATTCACATTACGATTGACTTCCGCAAAGAATTTAAGTTCCTTCTGTGCCGTGGGAAGGACAAAAGGCAGGCTGCTGGGGAGAACATTTTATTTTCAATATAGTTTCAATTCTACTTTACTTGACTGTATCTCAACTGTTACCATACCTTGTCACTCTGCTGGCTGTTGTATTCGATCACATGTTGGACACTTCCCAAGGGTCTAGGACTCTGTGATGTATCAGCAAATAATGTGTGCAGATCCCAGTAGGGTGGCCTTTTGCAGCTGACAGATGGTAACATTGTCAGTGCAGATTGTGTTTAAGTGCAGGCCAAGGTCTTTAGGCACTGCACCCAGTGTGCCAAGCACCACTGGGACCACCTTGAGTCCTTATGGGAGAAATGTCAAGTAGAAATAAAGGTAATGTTTAGCCTGAAGAAGAGAAGGCTGAGAGGAGATATGATAGCCATGTATAAATATGTGAGAGGAAGCCACAGGGAGGAGGGAGCAAGCTTGTTTTCTGCTTCCTTGGAGACTAGGATGCGGAACAATGGCTTCAAACTACAAGAGAGGAGATTCCATCTGAACACGAGGAAGAACTTCCTGACTGTGAGAGCCATTCAGCAGTGGAACGCTCTGCCCCGGAGTGTGGTGGAGGCTCCTTCTTTGGAAGCTTTTAAACAGAGGCAGGATGGCCATCTGTCAGGGGTGATTTGAATGCAACATTCCTGCTTCTTGGCAGGGGGTTGGACTGGATGGCCCATGAGGTCTCTTCCAACTCTTTGATTCTATGATTCTATTCTATGATAATACTAATAGTAATTGCAAACTGCCTTGAGTCCTCATGGGGAGAAATGCAGGGTAATAATAATAATTGCTAGCTGCCTTATGTGCCTATGGGAGGAGAAATGTCAGATAGGAATGAAGTTAATAATTGTAAACCAGCTTGAGTCTTCATGGGGAAAAATGCAGGGCACTGATGATGATGATGATGATGATGATGATGATGATGATGATGATGATGGACTTCCAAATTTAGACTGACAGAGAGTTTTGGAGCACAATACTCCTGACCTTACAATCATGGGAAAAAACAAAGTATGGATCGTCGATGTTGCAATCTCAGGAAACAGCAAAAATTGACAAGAAGCAACTGGAAAAACTTACATGAAATGAGGGTTTAAAGATAGAACTGCAAAGATTCTGGCACAAGCCAGTCAAGGAGATCTCAAAGATGATTGGCACACTGGGTGCAGTGCCTAAAGACCTTGGCCTGTACTTAAACACAATCGACACAGACAAAATCACCATTTGTCAGCTGCAAAAGGCCACCCTACTCAATACATCACATAGTCCTAGACCAGTGGTTCTCAACCTGTGGGTCCCCAAGTGTTTTGGCCTACAACTCCCAGAAATCCCAGCCGGTTTAGCAGCTGTTAGGATTTCTGGGAGTTGAAGGCCAAAACATCTGAGGACCCGCAGGTTAAGAATCACTGTCCTAGACACTTGGGAAGTGTCCGACGTGTGATCCAATACAAAAGCCAGCATAGTGGTTTTGTTTGCTGTGCATTAATCTTGTTGAGTATTAAATAATAATAATTGTAAGCTGCCTTGAGTCTATGGGGAGAAATGCGGGGTAGAAATAGTTAATGATAATAATTAGCGCACAGAGGAGACCTACATATCAGGGAGGAGAGTCTAACGTAACTAAGAGTTTATATGAAATATACATTTAGAGCACGTCTGAGTGTGCAAAGCACTTGGAATACATTCACTTTTGCTCCTTTTGCACTTTTGTTGTATTCTTCCCTTTATTGAGGGGCAAAACAGTTATGCCAGGTCTACTAAATAGTAAATGAACCGGAAGTCTTTTCAAAGTTTCATCAGAAAAGATACTTTTGAGTCTCCTTTTTAGAGAGATGGAGATGATGATGATGATAATTCCAGAAAGAAAACAAGACTGAGACAGGGATGTGATTTTCATACTGCAGCAAAATCCAGGCCTGGCTTTTTGAAATATCTTTGCAAGGAAAGGGAAAACTATATTTTAGCCATCTTCCCAGTTCATTCCTCATCTTTGCTTTGTTTTATTTCACTTCCTGCACTTTTTTCAAACAGATAATTTGGTTATTTCCCTCTTACAAGGCTTCGGAAATATTTTTTTAAAAAAGAGAGGCGTTCCAATATCCAAGGACAACCACAAGAGCTGCAGCAAAAAGGTTATAGAGAACTGAATGGTGCAAGATGTATTTAAAAATACAGTTATTTCAAATATACAAAAAAGAGCTTTCTCTGCATTGCACATCCAAAGCCTTTGGCTTCAGGGACGAAACCCCTCCAAACCAAGCCTTAAATGGCTTGGCTATTATAGGCTTCTCTCCCACAGACTGAGAGCACAGCCAGCTAAAACAAAAAGCCAAAAAATATATAGCAATTCTGCCCTCCTTTCTTGCTTCGGGTGATGGGAGACGTAGTTTGGCACGCATCACAATGTTAAAAACAAAGTTTTAAAAGGCAATCAATACCAGAGTTTTAGGGGTTTGTGCAAATCCCGAAACGGAAATCGCTGGGGAATAAACAGACACTAAGGAAAGCAAAAGGGACAAGATTCCCAATCCACCAGAAAACGCAGCAGAAACAAATGGGAAGTGTGCAAAAACCCCATTTGTTTTAGTATTGTGTGCAATGCGCATAGGACGCAATAGTCTTCTTTTAAAAATGGTATTTACCTGGCTGCTCTGAAAAGAGGCAGCACACCCCGCCTGCTTCCCCACGTCCCCTTTTCCACCTAGACAGACAGACGGATGGAAGGACAAGACACAAAGGAGAAACAGAGGAGTGGGGCAGACGGCGCACGTTGCGAGTCTCTGTACATGATGCACCACCAGGGTTTACGACCGGCAGCAACCAGCGCCCTTCACCTCCTTCTTGACGTAGTCGTGGAGCTTGAAGCGCGGCTCGTGGGGCAGCTTCAGCGACCGGTGCTTCAGCTCCCTGCAAAGACAGCAGCCATAAAAGGTCTCCCAGGGATAGAAGAAAGGGCGCTTGGCAGGAAAGAACCCCCTCCCCGCTTTGGGTGCATGTCACTCTCTCACACTTGGGGGGGGGGGGGGGGAAGTGGGGCACAACCAGAAGAAAATGTTAAGGATCACACAACTGGAAGGGGTTCCCCCAAAGGTCATCTAGTCCAACCCTCTTCTGCCAGGAAGAAAGACACCATCCAAGCCCTCTTGACAGATGGTCATCCAGCCTAAGTACATTATCATCATTATCATCATCATCATCATTATTTATTGAATTCTAGAGTTGGAAGACCCCAATGGTCATCCATTCCAACCCCCCTTTTACCAGGAAGAAAGATACCATTCAAGCCATCTGGACAGTTGGTCATCCAGCCTAAGTAGACTCCATTATTATTATTATTATTATTATTATTATTATTATTATTATTATTATTATTATATCCAAGAGACCCCAAGGGTCATCCATTCCAACCCCCATTCTGCCAGGAAGAAAGACACCCTCCAAATCCTCCCAACAGATGGCCACCCAGACTAAGTAGACTCCATTATTATTGTTGTTGTTGTTATTGTTGAGTCCTAGAGTTGGAAGAGACCTCAAGGGTCATCCAGTCCATCCTCCCTTCTACCAGGAAGAAAGACACCATCCAAGCCCTCTTGACAGATGGCCATCCAGCTTAAGTAGACTCCATTATTTATTTATTATTGAATCCTAGAGTTGGAAGAGACCCCAAAGGTCATCCAGTCCAACCCTTTTCTGCCATGAATGAAGACATAATCTAATCCCTTCCGACAGATGGCAGCCAACCTCTGCTGAAAGAACTCAAGAGAAGGAAATTTTCATAGATGAAAGCAATTGAATCCTAGAGTTGGGAGCAGGCTCCCCTGGGGTTATCCAATCCAACCCCTTTCTGCCAGAAAGGAAGATGCCATCCAAGCTCTCCCAACAGCCATTCAGCCTCTGCTTAAGACACCTCCAGAGGAGGAGACATCATCATCATCATCATCATCATCATCATCATTATTATTATTATTATTATTATTATTATTATTATTATTATCATCATTAAGACACAATCCAATCCTTCCTGGCATAGCCATTCAGCTTCTGCTTAAAAGCCTCCAAAGAAGGAGCCTCCAGCAGATGCTGAGGAAGAATATTCCACTGCTGAACAGATTAAAGTTTCAAAAGTAGTGTCTTACTTGGCGATGGCTGTGAAGGCTAAGTCGACATTCAAGCCGCTCTTGGCGCTGGTCTCCATGAAGGGCACACCATACTCCTTCAAAGGCACAGAGACACAGGAAAAAGAGCATCATTCACTGCCTTCCTTATGTCACCTCTATGTGTGGGGCAAGAAGGGGAAAGACCCCCAGAGCCCTCATTCGAAGCCCCCAAGTCTAGGCCTTCCAGCACAATTCAATGGTGACGTTTATGAGAGTATAGCACATAATCTCCTGGAAGACCTAGAATGTAGGATATACTTTTGGTAAATGAAACTGCAGTTCTGGTGCTACAGATATATTTGGGGGGGACACAAAAGGAGAAAAAGGCAAAAGGAGGAGGAGAAAGATGGAGAAGGAAGGAGAAGATAAGGAAGGAGGAGGAGATAAGAAAGGAGACGCAGAAGGTAAGAGAAAGGAGATGGAGAAAGTAAGGAAGGGGAAGGTTAAAGAAAGGAGAAAAAAACAAAGAGAAAGAAGAGAAAGATAATTGAAGGGATAAATAAAGGAAAAAGGACATAAGAGGAAGAGAAGAAGAAAATAAGAGAAGGAGGAGAAAGAAGGTAAGAGGAAGAAAAAAGGAGAAGGAGAAAGGCAAAGAAGGAGAAGGGGAAGATAAGAGAAAGAAAGGAGATGGAGAAGGTAAGGAAGGGGAAGGTAAAAGGAGAAAAAAGAAAGAACAAGGAAGGAGAGAGAAGAGGAAGATAACTGAAGGGAAAAAAAGTAAGAGAAAGCAAATGGGACACAAGAGGAAGAGAAAGAGGAGAAAGAAGGTGAGAGATAAAAGGAGAAGGAGAAAGAAGGGCAAGGAAGAAGAGGAAGAAAAAAGGAAAAGGAAGGAGAAGGTGAGACACGGAAAGAAAGGGAAGTAGGAGAAAAAGGAGATAGAGAAGAAGAAAAGAAGGAAAAAGTAAGAGACAGAAAGAAGGGAGGGGAAGGAAGAGGAAGAGAAGAAGGTAAGAGAAGGAGAAAGAGGAAGGTAAGAGAAAGAAAGAAAAAGAAAGGGGAAGGGAAGGTAAGAAAAAGAGAAAAAGAATGGATCAAAATGTGGCTCTTGTACCTTGGCTAGTTTCTCTCCATCTTCTCGCCTTACCACCCGCTCCTGGGTTGAGTCCACCTGGAAATGACAAAAATAGTAGCTGAAATCACAGAATCCTAGAGTTGGAAGAGACCTCATGGGCCATTCAGTCCAACCCCCTGCCAAGAAGCAGGAAAACTACATTCAAAGCACCCCCAACAGATGGCCATCCAGCCTCTGTTTAAAAGCTTCCAAAGAAGGAGCCTCCACCACACTCCGGAGCAGAGAGTTCCACTGCTGAACGGCTCTCACAGTCAGGAAGTTCTTCCTAATGTTCAGATGGAATGTAGAATCCAGGTATATTTTGGGAGCCAAATGGATTGCTCTGGATGGGATGGATCCGGCAAACAATGCATTGGGTCGCTCTGAGTTTTTTGGGCTCTATGGCCATGTTCCAGTAGCATTCTCTCCTGGCGTTTCGCCTGCATCTGTGGCTAATGCCATCTTCAGAGGTCTGTTGGAAGTGAGGCAAATGGGGAGTATATACAGCTGTGGAATAATGTCCAGGGTGGGAAAAAGAACCTTTGTCTGTGTGAAGCAAATGTGAGTGTTGCAATTGGCAATTTTAAATAGCATTGAGTAGCCATGAAGCTGCAAAGTCAATCAGGGAGGGTATCTGTATAGAGGTAGCCTAGCCTCTGTTGCCTGGAGGCATCCTTTGTTTGGATGAAAGGCAGTGCAGACTAATTCAACCACAGAAGTCAGCTATAGCAGAGCACTTTATGAACCAACCTGGACACAGAATATTACTTAAGAAATTCTAGACAACTCTGACAACCATTATGTCAGACTACACAGAGAAACCACTGAAATCCACAAGAATGTGCACAATTTCAACAGAAAGAAGGAAACCATGAAAATGAACAAAATCTAGAAAGAAGAAAACAATGAAAATGAACAAAATCTGGCTACCAGTATTTAAAAAAACCCACCAGAATCACAACAGTAATGAACACTACTCAGAAACAGGAGAACTTCAGACAGCAAGCAATCAAGTGCCAGTGAATCCCTCTCAAACAGAGGATTCCTCCAGGCAACAACAGCCAAGCTACCTCTATGCAGATGCCCTCACTGATTGAGCAGCTGCAAGGCTACTCAATACTAATCAAGCTTGCCAATTGCAACATTCATACTTGCTTCAAACAGACAAACATTTCCCTCCCCCCCCATCCTGGACATTATTCCACAGGTACATATACCATCCATTTGCCCCACCTGCAACAGAATCTTTGAAGATGCCATTAGCCACAGATGCAGGTGAAACATCAGAAGACAGTGCTAATGAAACATGGCAATTCAGCCCAGAAAACTCACAACAACCCAGTGATTCTGGCCATGAAAACCTCCGACAACATATTGAACAATGCATTTTGTGAACTGGGACAGGAGGGAGGTCCACTCACCTTGTTTCCCAGCAGCATCAGCACCACGTCCTGCTTGGCGTATTCGTGGATCTCGGTCAGCCAGGCCTAGGAGGGGAAGAGAAGAGGACGGAGTAAAGGCTGCAAAGGAGGAGTCTTGTGTTGTGATGATTTAGGGAAAGTTTGCGGAAGGCATTGGCTTCTTTGCCTCTCAAGCCAACCGAGTTTCCAAGGCATTGCACAACAAACAAACACAGCATCAAATGCATGAGTAAAGACAACCCAAAACTCCTCATTCGAAAGAATACTGAAACTATAGGTAGCACCTTATTAATCAAGGAGTAACTCAGCTCTTTCTTTCCCTTCCTTGGTCCTTTCTTCCTATCATTTCTTTTCCTATCCTTTCTCCCTCTGTTCTTTTCCACTCCTCTCCTTTTTTTCTTCTTCTTTTCCTTCCCCCTCCTTTTCCTTTTCATCCTTTCTTTTCTATCCTCTTCTTACCTCTTTTTTCCTCTCCTCCCAATTTTCCTTCTTTTTCCTCTCTTCCTTTCCTCTCTTTCTTCCTCTCCTCTTTTTCTGTCCTGTCATTTGTGCTCCTTTCTTTTCCCCTCCATTCTTTCTCCATCTCTTTCTTCTTTCTTCTCCTTCCTTTTACTTTCCTTCTTCCCCCTCCTTTCGTGGCTTTTAGTGTCCTTCGTTCCCCTCCTTTTTTCTCTTTTCCTTTCTCCGCTTTTCTTCTCCTTTTCCTCTCTTCTCTCTTTCCCTCTCCTCTCATGTCTTCCAGTTCCCTCCATTCTCTTTTCCTCTCTTCTTTTATCTCCCTTTCCCTTCCTTCCTTTCTTTCCCTCTTCTGCCTCATCTTGTCTTTTACTTTCCTTTGTTCCCCTCCTTTATTTTCCCTCATTTTTGAACTTTTCCTCTCCTTTCCCTCTCTTCTTTCTTTCCCTCTCTTCTCTTGTCTTTTCTTCCCTTCATTCCCCTTTCCTCTCTTTTCCTCTCCTCTTTCCTCTTCCTTCCTCTTCCTTTCCCTTTCCTGCTTAGTCCTATCATTTACCTTCCTTCATTCCCCTCCTTTCTTTCCCCCCCTCCTCCTTTTTTGCACTTTTCCTCTTTCCCCCCTCGTCTGTCTGTCTGTCTGTCTGTCTGTCTGTCTGTCTGTCTGTCTGTCTTTCTTTCTTTCTTTCTTTCTTTCTTTCTTTCTTTCTTTCTCCTCTCCTGTCTTTTACTTCTCTTCATTCCCCTTTTCTCTCTTTTCCTCTCCTCTTTCATCTTCTTTCCTCTTCCTTTCCCTTTCCTGCTTAGTCCTATCTTTTACTTTCCTTCATTCCCCTCCTTTCTTTCCCTCCTCTCCTCCTTTTTTGCACTTTTCCTCTTTCCCCCCTCTTCTCTTTCTTTCTTTCTTTCTTTCTTTCTTTCTTTCTTTCTTTCTTTCTTTCTTTCTTTCTTTCTCCTCTCCTGTCTTTTCTGCCCTTCATTCCCCTTTCCTCTCTTTTCCTCTCCTCTTTCCTCTTCTTTCCTCTTCCTTTCCCTTTCCTGCTTAGTCCTATCTTTTACTTTCCTTCTTTCCCCTCCTTTCTTTTCCCTCCTCGCCTCCTTTTTTGCACGTTTCCTCTCCTTTCCCCTCTTCTTTCTTTCCCTCTCCTCTCCTGTCTTTTACTTCCCTTTGTTCCCCTTTCCTCTCTTTTCCTCTCCTCTTTCCTCTTCTTTCCCCTTCCTTTCCCTTTCCTGCCTTGTCCTGTCTTTTACTTTCCTTCATTCCCCTCCTTTCTTCCTCCTCCTCTCCGCCATTCTTCTCTTTTCCTCTCCTTTCTTCTTTTCCTTGATAGACATTCCTTTGATGATGTTTCCACCCTTCCCAGATAGAAATGTGATTATTTTCCGTAAACATTTTGCCAAAATGCCACTCTTCCAAATGACTCCGAAACTACGAGGCCATAAAGTCATGCTGGAAGCCCAAGAAATGCCTAGAGAGGTATTTTCTCTTGCAATCTCTAGGTCTTCCAGTGCAGTTCTATGGCAGAAGACTGCCTAGCCCTTTCAAGAGAATGATCTCTCTTTGGAAAGCCTGTCTTCCTTATTTGTCCTGTTGGATTGATTCTGCTTCGACGGGCGGCTGTTCTTCTTGGTAATGTTTCCTTAATGTGTGCGGAGGAGGCTCTCCGGTGTTTTATTGTGCCGTTCGGCGGGGAAGAGAAATGCATTAAGCAAGGCGTCAATCTATAAAAGCAAACGCAAATGTTCCCTTCATGTCAACGAGAGCTTCCCGGAGCACATCCCGCACCCGGCGCACATGCAAGGAAAAAGGCTCATGCACAAGCACACCGAGGAGCCATTGCGAAGGCCATTACAAAGCCAAAGGGCTTTTGCAAAGGAACAATGGTTTTTTGTAGGGCTCGTGGAAACATTTATTTCTGCTTCCAGGAAACTACGTCTTCCAAAGTGTGCAGAAATGGTGGCAACGTTGGCTGTCTTTGGGATTGCTATCCGCCTACTTTCTCCTTGTTCCTTTCCTGACCTCCCTTTTTTTCCTTCTCTCCTTTCTTTCCTCCTCTTCTTTCTTTCCCTTCTTGTTCTCTTTCGTTCTTTCTTTCTCCTCCCCTCTCCTTTCTTTCTCCTTCCTCTCTCCTTTTATTTCTTTCCCTTCCTCTATTTCGTCCTCTCTTTCTTTCCCCTCCTTTTCTTCTCCTTTCCTTTCTTTCCCTTCTTGTTCTCGTTTGTTCTTTATTTCCTCTCCCCTCTTCCCCTTTCTTTTCTTTCTCCTTCCTCCTTTCTTTTATTCCTTTCCCTCCTTCTTCTTTCATTCTCCTTTTCTTTCCCTTCCTTCTCCTTTCCTTTCTTCTTCTCTTTCATTCTTTCTTTCCTCTCCCCTCTTCTTCTTTCTTTCTTTCTCCTTCTCCATTCTTTTATTCCTTTCCCTCCTTCTGTCATTGTCTTTTTCTTTCCCTTCCTTCTCCTTTCCTTTCCTTTCTTTCTCTTCTTCTTCTCTTTCGCTTTCTTTCCCTTCCTCTCTCTCCTTTCTTTGCTTTCCTTCTCACTCTTTCTCTTCTCCCTTTTCCCTTCTTTCCCTCCTTATTCTCTTTCTTCTGCCTCCTCTCCCCTTTTTCCTGTCTTTTCCTTCTTCTCTTTCTTTCCCCCCCCCTCTCTTCTTTTTTCTTCCCTACTTTTGCTCTTGCATTCTCTTTTGTTCCCCTCTCTCCCTTCTCCTTTCCTTTCCTTTCATTCCCTTCTTTTCTTTCTTTGCCTTTCTTTCCCTTCTTCTCTTTCCCCTCCTCACTCCCTTGTTCTGCTCTTTCATTCTTTCTTTTTCCCCTCGCTCCCTTCTCATTTCCTTTACTTTCATTCCCTTTCTTTCTTTACCCTCCTTTTATTCTCCTTCCTTTTCTTTCCCACCTTCTTCTCTTTCATTCTTTTTCCTCCACTTGCCCTTCTTTCCTTTCTTTTCCTTCTTCTCTTTCTTTCCCCTGACTCTTTTCTTTTTTCTGTTCTTTTGTTCTCTTTCATTCTCCTCCCTCCCTTCTCCTTTCCTTTATTTTTATTCCGTTTCTTTCTTTCCTATTTTTTTGCCTTTCCTTCCTTTCTTCGTCTCATACACAGATGACCTTTCTTTCCCAGTGACATCACAGAGGGCCACTTCACCTAGCATACATGCATACCTAAATGTACATGCATATCTTTATACCTAAAAGCATATGTAGTTTTAGGTGTTTTATAGTGGTTATAATTGCTTTATTTTCAAGGGGATTAAAAGTGTTGCCACGGATTGATACAAAGAGCTGAGCTGTTCAAAAGTTACCATTGGAATAATAATTGTAATGCAAGAAAAACATTGAATGTTGGGCACATCCACAATGTAGAACGAATGCAGCTTCCATGCATAGTGCGGACACACACTAATATATAAGGCACACATGCCCTATATACATACACACACAGATACATATAGCAATCTCAAACAATTATGGCCGACACACGTTCCCTATACAATATAATGTTATAATATAATATAATATATATTACATTATATTATATGTAATCTATATAATATATAATATAATTATCTCCAATTATGGCTCAACTTTGGTTCATGTTGTGCTTTGGTTCTGGCTACTCAACAAAGGCATCACTGCCTGTGGATTCTGGGCTTTGTTGTCCTTTGCTGCATTTTCAACAAATCTCCCTTGGAATTATTCCTATCCTGTTGTTGCTGTTTGCATCCAGCCAAGCCATTCTGCCCAAAGCTGATACGGCAAGCGAATTTGCACTGCCGCTTTGTCAATCTGTCACCGCTTGCGCTGGAGAGCCGTGTTTGCTTTATTACAGATTAAGGCTGCCACATAAAGAGCCTTCAGAGGACTCCCGGCTGGAATGTAAAACCTGGACCAGAGAACAGTGCCTTCCTGCAGTGTGTGTGTGTGTGTGTGTGTGTGTGTGTGTGTGTGTTTGTATGCCATATAAAATACTCTGCTGGAAGGAAAGGGATGAAAGAGAGTGAAAAACATGGCAAAGGAAGAGCTGGTTTTTCCATGTCTCTTGCTAAAGCATCCCAGCTACAGATTCCTATCCCAGCTCTGTTCAAGTTCAGAGTAAATCTCAAAGCAGATTCACTGCCTCTCTGACACAGAGACCACTGTCTGCCATGGTTCATGGCTAACTTTTTAATTGACTTTCACTGCCTCTTCTGACTTCTTTAGAGGTTTTGAAGCAGAGGCAGAATGGCCATCTGTCGGGAGGGCTTGGATTGTGTCCGGACTGGATGGCCCTTGTGGGTCCCTTCCTCCTATAATGGAGTATAGACTGCTCGGAGTCGAGTGGAGTCACCTTCTCTAGTGGCTTTTAAACAGAGATTGGATGGCCATCTGTTGGGAGGGCTTGGTTGGTGTCTTCATATGTGGCAGAAGGGGGTTGGTCTGGATGGCCTTTGGGGGTCTCCTCCAACTGTAATGGAATATAGACTGCCTGAGAGTTCATAGGAATCTCCTTCCTTCTCTAGAAGTTTTTAAGCAAAGGCTGGATGACCATCTCTTGGGAAGGTTTTGGTTGTATTTTCCTTTAGGGCAGAAAGGGGTCAGACCGGATGACCCCTGGGTGCCATGTATAATGGAATACAGACTACCTGGGAGTGTAGTGGCTTATATTTACATTCTATGTAAATTCAGCTGGACTGCTACATTGATTACATTTATCTTTTACAGGTTCTATTTTAACAGGTTGTTTTATCCAATGTATATGCCTGGTTTATGTAATGTATTATTGTTTCTATATGCTGATTTTATTTTATGTATTATGTATTTTATGTATGGCACATTTATGTGCTATTTTGTAAGCAGCCCGAGTCCCTATGGGAGATGGTGGTGGGGTATAAATAAAGTTTTATTATTATTTGTTATTATTATTTTAATCAGAGGCTGGATTATTTTAATCAGAGGCCATCTGTTGGGAGGGCTTGGAAGGCATCTCCATATGTGGCACAAGGGGTTGGATTGGATGAGCCTTGGGTTCCCCTTCCAACTGTAATGGAATATAGACTGCCTGGAGTTCATAGGAATCTCCTTCCTTCTCTGGAAGTTTTTAAGCAGAGGTTGGATGGCCATCTGTCGGGAGGGTTTGGGTTGTGTTTTCCTTTAGGGCAGAATGGGGTTAGACTGGATGACCCCTTGTAATGGAATATAGACTACCTGGTCTTACAATCAGAGGCTGGATGGCCATGAGTCACAATGGCTTGGGTGGTGTCTTCACATGTGGCAGAAGGGGGCTGGACTGGATGACTTTTGGGGGACCCTTCCAACTGTAATGGAATACAGACTGCCTGGAAGTTCATAGGCATCTCCTCCTTTTTCTAGAAGTTTTTAAGCAATGGCTGGATGGCCCTCTATTGGAAGGGCTTCAGTGGCATCTTCATATGCGGCAGAAGGGACTGGATGACCTCTGGGTGCCCCTTCCAACTCTAGCAATCTATGAAATATCCAGCTGATACTAAACCAGATAGTAAAGATTTGCTTCTGAGCCACGATGGAAAAAAGGTGATTTGTGCGCCTTGTTCATGCTTGCATTGCTTGCCCCATTAGCTCCATTATGGCCCAGCATCTGCCTTATGGCTGATAAGGAGGACAAAGCAAACAAGTCGAAGCCCAAACCCACATCAATGGGGCGCGACTTGCTAGCAAGGGCTCCTGCTACCAATCTGTTCCAATAAAGCCCTGTGTTGAAACATAAAGGGATTCAGCGATCCAAAAGGCAAACGGGAGGAGGAAGAAACCTTGGTGGATTGGCGGAACCAAAGGAGGACCAACAAAAGGAGAGACCTTACCTGGATGTTGTCAAAGGAGGCTCTGTTTGTGACATCATAAAGCAGCAGCAAAGCTGGAAAGAAAAAGGAGAAGCCTAAATTCTAGCTGCTTTTGGGTGTCAATTAAGAGAGAAATGCAGGATGATAATAATAATAATAATAATAATAATAATAATAATAATAATAATAATAATCAATATATAATAATACAAACATACAATTAACCGTAATATAAGAAGAAGAAATAATATAAAATAATGATAATGATAATAAAATTCATAATAAGAACAAAAAATAAGATAAAAATAGTATAAAGGACTAATAATAATAATAATAATAATTCACCATCTATATAAATAAAAATGTAATGTTAGTTTGGGGGATTAACATAACTCAAAAACCACTGGGTAAATTGACACCAAATTTGGACACAATACACCTATCAGGCCAACAAGTGACCATCACTCATAAAAACACTGAAAAACACAGCAGAAGAGACTTAAAAAGCCAAAAAAATAAAAAAGACATTACAATGCATGCACAAAACCATATATATACACATATACACAAATATATACACACAGATATATATACACACACAAAACACATATACACAGACTGGGCCACAGCAACGCATGGCAGGGGACCCTAAACTTAATAATAATAATAATAATAATAATAATAATAATCAATTCAAAGTGCTGGCATTGGCCTTTAAAGCCCTAAACGGTTCTGGCCCAACTTATCTATCCAAACGTATCTCAGCCTATCAGCCCACCAGGACCCTAAGATCTTCCGGAGAGTCCCTTCTCTCTATCCCTCCAGCTTCAGAAGTGCGGCTGGCGGGAACGAGAGATAGGGCCTTCTCTGTGGTGGCCCCCCGGCTTTGGAACACCCTCCCTATAGAGGTACGATCAGCCTCTTCGCTGATGGTGTTTAGGAAGAGACTCAAAACATGGCTGTTCAAACAAGCATTCGGCTAATCTGTGGCAATTCGAATATTGATGACTAAGGACAGGAAACATGGACAACGAATTCTGGATTGCGATTTCAACTCGAGATATATGGGATTATTATTGGTGGACCAATAATTTGTTATTGAATTTGTTATTATATGTGTATATGTTTTTAAATTGTAGATTGTTTTAACTGCTGTAAACCGCAATGAGTCGCCGTTCTAGGCTGAGATATTAGCGGTATACAAGTGTATCAAATAAATAAATAAAATAAATAAACTATAACAGACCCATTTGAATCAAGGGTGTCTATTACACTGCAGCCTTTGCAAAAGGCAGCATGGGGTTTTAGTTATTATACAAAAGAGTCTGGTATTAACCAATATAGGAAACTTATAGAAATGTAATTGTTTTCTTATTAATGCTTACCATGAGCATCCCTGTAGTATGCGTGAGTGACGCTGCGGAAACGCTCCTGACCGGCTGTGTCCCAGATCTGGAAATTAAACACGGAAAATTATCACCATTGGCCAATGGCATCAATGGCCAAAGCCCTACACATTATCATTGGGGCAAGGCGGCCTGTTCCAAGACAGCTTACTTTCAGTTATTCCAGGTTTGTCTACACCAGTGATTCTTAACTTTCCTAATTCCATGACCCCTTAATACAGTTCCTCATGTTGTGATGACCTCCAACCATAACATTATTTTTGTTGCTAATTACTAACTATAATTTTGCTACTGTTCTGAATCATAATGTAAATATCTGATATGAAGAATATATTTTCATTTGCTGTACCAAATTTGGCACAAATACCCAATACGCCCAAATTTGAATACTGGTGGGGTTGGGGGGATTTCTTTGTCAATTGGGAGTTGCAGTTGCTGGGATTTATAGTTCACCTACAATCAAAGAGCATTCTGAACTCCACTAACTATGGAATTGAACCAAACTTGGCACAAAAAACTCCCATGACCAACAGAATATACTGGAAGGGTTTGGTGGGCATTGACCTTGAGTTTGAGAGTTGTAGTTCACCTACATCTAGAGAGCATTGTTGACTTTGTTTTTTTGGTCGTGTCAGGAGTGACCTGAGAAACTGCAAGTCGCTTCTGGTGTGAGAGAATTGGCCGTCTGCAAGGACATTGCCCAGGGGACGCCCGGATGATTTGATGTTTTATCATCCTTGTGGGAGGCTTCTCTCATGTCCCTGCATGAGGAGCTGGAGCTGATAGAGGGAGCTCACCCGCCTCTCCCCGGATTCGAACCTGCAACCTGTCGGTCTTCAGTCCTGCCGGCACAGGGGTTTAACCCACTGCGCCACCGGGGGCTCAAACAAGGATAGATCTGGACCAGACTTGACACGGATTGAGTATATGCCCAAATATGAACACTGGTGGAGTTTGGGGAAAATAGACTTTGACATTTGGGAGTTGTAGTTGATGGGATTTATAGTCTACCTACAATCAAAGAGCATCCTGAACCTCACCAACAATAGAATTGGCCCAAACGCCCACACAGAACCCCCATGTGTTGCTGAATTTTCTTGGCCGGAATCAGTGGGTTGCTGTAAGTTTTTCGAGCTGTATAGCCATGTACCAGAAGCATTTTCTCCTGACGTTTTGCCTTCATCTATGGCAGGCATCCTCAGACCTCACAACCTCTAAGGTTGATGCAGGTGAAACGTCAGGAGAGAATGCTTGTGGAACACGGCCATAAAAACCTTGAGGAAACCCAGAAAATACTGTGTTTTCTGATGGTCTTTGGCAACCCCTCTGACACCCCCTCGTGACCCCTCTGGGGTCCTGACCCCCAGGTTGAGAAACGCTGGTCTACACCATAGAATGAATGCAGTTTTAGGTCACTTGTTGTGCCCCGGCTAAATGAAATGGGATCCCAGCAGTTGTAGTTCCCCAAGGTCCTTCTCTGGGCGACATACCATCAAGTATAACAGGCAATAGCCATGATGGAGAACTTGCCCTTACCTGCAACTTTACTTTCACGCCGTCCACATTCAACACTTTATTCTGGAAAAGAAGGGAGAAAAAGGGGATCAATCGGGTGGGATTTCTAGCATCATTGCTGCCCTAATTTTGCAGGATGCTCCCCAACTCTTTTAAAAGCCTGGAAAAGTGAGAAGCCATGGTTGAGATGATGATAACAAGAACGATAGCACTCTGTAACACTACGATTTTTGTTTCTGAGTTATAAATGTCATTTCCTAATTGGTTCCATCATAAAAAAAAAACAGGGGGGAAGTTTACTAAACTGTCAAGCCTTTGTTTTTCCAGGAGGGATATCGTGCTATAGCACATTTTGCTCTAGTTGTTCAATGAATACCTCATTGAGTCTCACCAATTCAACCTAGTTTGTATCAGCCACAAAAAAACGAAGTTTCTGAAGGAGAACAACTACTTTCAAAGTAAGGACCACACAATTAAACAGGAAATAACACTTTCAAAGCAGGAACAGGAATTTTTTCAAATTCTGTAACATCGTGTTTTTTTCTTTCTTCTCGGTTCGTCTTAGACCTTTGCAACCCTTCTAGCTCTCTTTCCTGGGGAGGTTTAGCACTCGCTCGGTTGCGTTTGAAGATGAGGATGCATGCATTTAACTTGGCACTTTCTGTCTCTCTCTGATGTGCCTTTCGAGTCGAGAGAGAGCGCTTTGTAGTCCCCCTTTTGCTGCAGACTCTCCTGCCTGCTTCCCGGAGTCTGGCATCAAAGCCGAGGTGAAGGCTTTATCCTGCAAAATAATGATCCGGAAGCCAGGGATCAGCAGGATGAAAGGAGGGATGCACGAAGGCCTTGCTCTCTCATGAATCGGGGTGAAATCTGCAGCTGCCTTGGGAGTAACCCATTCCCAACAGCATAGGGTGCATGCGTTTTTTTTGCACCACTTTGCACCACGTCAGTGCCAAGCCCGTAGCCAAGGGGGTGGTTTAGGGGTGAAAATCATCTCCAAAATATTTCAGGTAAAAAAAAACACCATGGTTTACTCATAAATTTTAACTGTTTAACCAAATCTCCTTGCCAAGTCTATAAGAAGCAAAAATTAGAGTCCCTCCAGAACTGCAAGCACTATCTCAACCCAATTTTGCTTATTCACACTATCATTACTTTATCTTTCTACCAATTTATTTATTTATTTACAATAGTTCCACCCCGCCTTTCTTGAACTTAAAGGTACTCAAGGTGGCTTTACAACATAGGCAACTATTGGATGCAAGTAAAACAATGTAAAATTACAAATACAAAGTGCAGGTTATTACCTATAAAGCCCTAAACGGTTTGGGGCCTGCCTATCTTCATGATCGCATCTTCCCCTATGAGCCATCACATACTTTAAGATAATCCGGGGAGGCTCTTCTCTTGCTTCCAGCGCCTTCACAAGTGCGGGTTGGTGGGGACGAGGGAAAGGGCCTTCTCTGTGGTGGCCCCTTGGTTCTGGAACTCCCTCCCTAGGGAGATTAGACAGGCTCCCATTCTCTCCATTTTCCGCAAGGAATTAAAAACTTGGTTGTTCCGTTGTGCCTTTGATTAGGCAGCTCACCACAGAATTTCTCAACCTGTCTAGCTCCTGCATTTTAGTACGGTCCCTTTCTGGCACTTGTAACACTCCAATAGTCTAAGGGCAACAGCCTCCTAGACCAACCCTCCGATTGTCCCCTGGCACTACGTAGGAATCATTGCACTTATTAATTATGAGTCAAACCCAGCATTCTGTTGCTCAGCCATGATATTGTTTTTAATTGTTTTTAAAATGTTGTCTGACTTTTATTGATTGTTGTTACTGATTGTATTTCAGTCCTTCTTTTTAACTTGTATTTGCTAGGCATGTCTCTTTGTAAGCTGCCCTGGGTCCCTTTGGGGAGATGGAGGGGGGTGTATAACAATAAAGTTGTTGTTGTTATTGTTATTGTTATTATTATAAACATTTAAAACAGAAATATAAAATACGTACATTAAAACCTATTAAAACATATAATATTACTAACTGCGCTCTGGCACCACGAGAACCAGAGCCAACCTTCAGAAATGGGGCTACAAAGTGGAATCCACGACATGCGAGTGTGGAGAGGAGCAAACCACTGACCACCTGCTGCAATGCACCCTGAGCCCTGCCACATGCTCAATGGAAGACCTTCTTGCAGCAACACCAGAAGCACTCCAAGTGGCCAGATACTGGTCAAAGGACATTTAATCAACTACCATACTCACAAATTCTGTATTTTGTCTGTTTGTTTGCTTTATTCTGTTAGAAATGTAATATAATTGACTGGTTGCCCTGACACGACAAATAAATAAGACTTCACTATTTGCCTTGTTGTCCAAAAACATCGTCTAACATTGCAATAGCAGCAATAGCTAACATAGTGGAAGTGACCAAGTTGTCCTACCTGCAGCAAAGCCTAAGGCACAGGGTGATGTCGGGGGTGGGGATTTGACCGGGATTGCAGGTGGAAACTGTGAAAACTGTAATGTCTCCCACTGGTTCATCTAATCCAATGGTTCCCAACCTATGGTCCATGGACCACCAGTGGTCTGCAAGAACTAAAATATGGTCCATGGCCTCACTATTACTACACTGTTGTAACGAGAGCGACTTGTCTCACAAAACCCACGTATAGTGCTGAGGCTTATTAAATGTGATTTTCTGTAGGCGAGTAGCTGGTAACTACTGGGTGGCATATGTTCTGTATCAGAAACTAGAGCTGATGTGGTCTATCTAATGCACTTTTCTGAATCAGCACCCCAAACCAAATCTAAAGTTGACCAAAAACTGATTCGTAACCCTTTTGTTAAGAATGTTGGAGAGTGATCCCTGGTCAAAGTGGTCCCTGGTCAAAAAAACGTTGGGAGCCACTATCTAACCAAAGCCTTGCCAAAGAAACCATGGAACAGAAGCAAAGAGAAGAAGCTGTGCCATTGTTAGACCTTGTACGTTATATGAACAAGACTGTGTCTGATGACCAAGTGAAAGCTCAATTAGTGCAAAATCCACAGACTCCACTGCCAGGATATGTATCTCCTGTGAATAAGAAGAGGCGTCTAATATTTCGACCCGAATGGTCCAGTAGATTTCCCTGGTTAGCCTACTCATTGCATGTACAAGGTGCGCTCTGGAAGTACTGTGTGGTGTTTGGAGGAGAAGTTGCAGGTAAATGTAGTCATCAACAGATGGAAAGATGCAATAGAAGTCTTCAATGGACACCAAACAACAGAGTCCCATGAGAACAACTTGTGCTTGGCTGAAAACCCCTTGCTAATTCACAGTGGAAAACGTCTTGATATAACCCATCATCATAATAAAGGAAATAAGAAGAAAACATAAAGGAACTTCTGATAATTATGGAAACTATTGTCCTTTGTGGCCAACAAGAACTGGCTTAAAGAAAGAGCAATGATTCAGGGCCTGTTTACCTTTGAAGAACCTTTGCACAATGATGGTCATTTCAAGGCCTTGTTGAGATCTCGTGCCATATCAGGAGACACTGGTCTCAAAAGTCACCTCGGGAGGGGGGGGGGAGTTTCAACCCCTCCCAGATGTTTTTTCTGGCTACGGACCTGGGCATTTTTGACTAATGGTCAGGGATTCTGGGACATGGAGTCCACAACTGGAAGGCATGGTTCCTTTCAAAGTATCGTTCCCCTCTTGGAAAAGTGACCTTTTTTGAGGACTGCAGGTTCCATTATCCACCGAACTCCAAAATAAAGTAATTTCCCTAACGATGCCTCATTTTCCTGGTGCCCTTTGGCTTGGCACATGTCCCCCGAACATGTGCCATCCATCGAAGACTTAATTCCCCCTTTTAATGACAGCCTTCGTTAGGCGGAGACTTTGACGAGGCTTTGAATCCACTTCTAAGGCCGACCTTTCCCCACGGGGTGGCTTTGAAGTCTCTTCATTGACACAGCATTTTTAATAAGGGTTTCTCAGCATTTTCGGGACATGAATTGGCTTCATCATTTGGATGAACGAAGCCTCTCTTGCAGCCCGGTTTTTGGGGACAATAGATGAACTGGATTCAAGGTCTTTAAACTCTGCGTCCTATAGAACATGGGGAAATTGGAGGACTCCAGCACCCAGGATCCATCCCCTCCCCCAAAAAATACTCAATCCTGGGAACATCCAATCCAGAGCTCAGAAAAACCACCGAAAGCCTCTGCACCATATCTTAGGTGATCCCTTGTAGTCCGAGGATGATGATCCTCCAAGTTCGGTGTCCTGGGGGTGGGTTCGTAGGTGGCTGTGGAGCCCTATTCTTGATCTGCATCTTCTCCCACAGTGAGGGCATTAGTTTCCAGGTGGGAGGCGATCTCAGTCGGGGTTCGCTTGATGCGCCTTCCTCTTGGCACTTTTCTCTCTTTCGCCCTCCATTCGTGCCTCTTCAAATTCTGCAGCACTGCTGGTCACAGCTGACCTCCAGCTGGAGCACTCAAGGGCCAGGGCTTCCCAGTTCTCAGTGTCTATGCCAGAGTTTTTAAGGTTTGGCTTTGAGCCCATCTTTAAATCTCTTTTCCTGTCCACCAACATTCCGTTTTCTGTTCTTGAGTTCGGAGTAGAGAAACTGCTTTGGGAGATGGTGGTCGGGCATCCGGACAACATGGCCGGTCCAGCGGAGTTGGTGGCAGAGGACCATTGCTTCAATGCTGGTGGTCTTTGCTTCTTCCAGCACGCTGACGTTTGTCCGCCTGTCTTCCCAAGAGATTTGCAGGATTTTCCGGAGGCAGTGCTGATGGAATCATTCCAGGAGTTGCATGTGACGTCTGTAGACAGTCCACGTTTCGCAGGCATATAGCAGGGTTGGGAGGACAATAGCTTTATAACAAGCACCTTGGTATCCCTACGGATGTCCCGGTCCTCAAACACTCTCTGCTTCAATGTATTGTCGAAGGCTTTCATGGCTGGAATCACTAGGTTCTTGTGGGTTTTTTCGGGCTATAGAGCCATGTTCTAGAGGCATTTCTCCTGACGTTTCGCCTGCATCTATGGCAAGCTTCCTCAGAGGATGCTTGCCATAGAT